GAGAGAGAGAGAGAGAGAGAGGTGGGAAGGAATTTCTCATGACAGTGAGGGTTAAACTGTACATGGATCGTATGAATACGTCTGGATGGTCACTTGGCTTGTGTTATACTATGCGAGAATCAAATTTCAACAATAGTCATTAGATAAGCAATAGAAGTAGCGGTCATCACCGTTGCTCGATCACTATAAAAGATTATAATAACCGACTGGCGAGAGGATCATTCCGCTGCAAGAGAACTGGAAAAATGGCGAAAATGACTTCGCTACAACTTACTGTTGTCAAAGATACTGCACCCTGACACATTTCAAGGAGAGAGAACAAGGATCAGGGGGAATAGTTTGAGGTACTCCTCATTCTTTCCTATTATTATCAAATGAAATATTGTACTGGATCAGGGCACTTTTTTTGTGATATGACCAGTGGGCTGAGTTATATCCCCAGCAAATCATTTTATCCCCGACAACAGCAGATCATTATTTATTCAGTACCGTATACCCTTAAAGATACCTAGTCTACATAAAAACTTCGAAATCCACAATTTCCACCATAATATCTCATGCTTCCCTCTTCCCACGTCATAAACACTGTGAAATTCAATGCATTTCAACACATAATTTTATAAAAGCACATACTTGTTCAAGTTTTTCAACTAGTTTCAACAGATATGAGAAGCGTTCTAATACTGCAAAGCGATCCGGATCAATTTGAGAAGGGAAGGATTTTTCCCATTAAATTTCCTTGTGTATAATAGTGAATGGTTTGTCAACAGAGAATTACTTTGGTGAGGAAAGAATTGAACTGGGTGGGACAATTTAATTAATGAAACCAATGTAGCCTAAAAAGGGTCAGTGAAATAAAGCTTATGGTAATATTTTTTAAACTTTTATAGACAAACTGTTGCCTACTTTCAACACCAAAATCAACATCTTCACCTTTATTGAATACCCAAGTAATGATTGCATAGGAGCGAGAATGTTATCTTTACCTGCCCTTTGCAGTGCATTTTTGGATGTATAACAGCATCGTTTACGTGCAAATTAAGCAATTTGCTGATGGAATATTCTAGAAAATGTTCCGATTTGAAATATGCAATTATAAAAGGAGAATATTGAGATTTGAGAATTAACTGAGATGTGTGAAATTGATGGAGGCTTTTTGGAGCGGGAAAGCTCCGTGGAGAATTTGCGGATTCGCGGGAAGCGGGAGACCTTACAGTCAGTCATCCCTATCCTCTTACCTAGTGAGATTTTGCATAGAGAAATAACATGTTGGCCATTTCCTTCTCCTTACCATACATTAACCCTTAATGTATGGTAAGGAGAAGCCTTGCCATTAACCCTTGCAATCTCAGCGGCTCAGCTCAAATGTCAAAGACATCAAAGTTCCAGTTATCTATGGAGAGTGCGTTGTGAGTATTCAAATAAGTGTGTGAAAGATCAAATATGCGTAGTGCAAGATGAAGAAAAGCTGAGTTGAATTGTTTTATGGCACCAAATATGACCCTAATGTTCTGTTACCAAAGTTCCTCATTGAGCTATGTTTCAGCTGTTGGTTCAAGTCAAGCAATATGCAAATGATGGAGCAGATTGTTCCATGTCAGGATAATCATCAAACTGAACTGAATGATTATGAGGTTCCTTCTACTCTGATAAGACTTAAATCAGTACAAGAGACACGTCTTCCTGGATGTACAGCGCAGTTTCTTCAGCATAAATTCATTATAATACATTTCAGATGAACTTCTATCAAGATATCGAGTTACTGCAAAATCACGGGATCGTATGTTTAAAAAAAACTTTGAACTCTTAGTTATGCTCTTGCATTATTACTTTTTAATCTTCTCCGTTAGCTCTCTTCTATTGAGTATCTAAAAATTTCTCCCGATAACTAAAGTTGAAACGTCAAGTAAAGATAATATCTCAAACTACATTTTTTAAAACAGAGGTCGACACTTCTGATTTGCATCTCACAATTTTGTATATCCTGTGAATGATTTTTTCACAGTTTTTTAATGGATTAAATTGAATAACCTGGTAGATTAATTGGTCAAATCTCGATTGAATTGTGATGTAATATAAACCAGAAATGTGGATTTCCTTGAAGAACGTTGCTGACATCAAGAAGCTGGCAAGTGTCGGGATTTGCACAATCAAAGGCATTATGATGACCACGAGAAAGCGGCTGTGTGATGTCAAAGGTCTTTCTGAAGCAAAAGTTGACAAAATCAAGGAAATCGCATGCAAACTATCAGTGAGCAGTTTGAAATTCGTATCTACATGCTTTCGTTTGCATGTAATAAAAAATAGTATTAGTAGTAGGTTTTAGAACAGTGGCTTCATTACGGCTTTGGAGGTTACAGAACGACGGAAGCTTTGTTATCGCATTAGTACAGGGAGCCGAGAGCTGGATAAACTTCTAGGCGGTGGTATTGAAAGTCAGGCTATAACCGAAGTTTTCGGCGAATTCCGTACTGGCAAAACACAGCTCTCGCATACTTTGTGTGGTATACTTTTATTAGTTTGCATTTCTTTCACGAATTGTTTTTTTATGTGTTTTCAGCATCAAATTGGACAAAAAATTTCCTGTGAATCAAGGGCTGACTGAACCATAACTGAAATTTTGGAGGATTTCGATAAATTTTTTGTCTTATCGAAATATGAAAGTGAAGTAGTTTAGTAGGTTCAAAGTGGTGTGGGAAATAACTCGAAATTATAACTAATTGTTGTTCTCATTTTGAATTTCTTCTGGAAAGTTTAAACACTACTATTATAGTGGCGCTTTCCGAAAAATACTCATTAGGACGAACGGCACTGGAGGTCCTTTGCAGAAAAGAGGTTTTCATGTTTTTAGATTCCAAAAAAACTGGAGGTAAATTTATATTTCTAGTGATGTGCCAAATAGCAAGCGAGACAAGTAACTTCAAAGGTGGGAAAGTTATCTACATCGACACGGAGAATACATTCCGGTTAGTTCCAATGCATTCCGAACACTGCATAACATGTACTTTCTTAATCTGCACAATAACCGACCGAAATTCTTAAGCCCGGACCGTTTGCGTCAAATTAACGAACGTTTCAAAATGGATCAAGAGGCAATGTTAGACAACATTTTATATGCACGAGCGTACACTTCTGATCATCAGATGGAATTGCTGGATTTTGTTGCGGCGAAATTTCATGAGGTGTTGCTCTAAGTCTTCGCAGTCTTTCATATTACAACTTTGGTGTTAGTTTGGCTATTGAGTACTCCAGCTATTTTTGTCATATAAAATGAGGAAAAAAAGAAAAACTGTCCAAATAAACGAACGCTATAACGTTATGAAACGTTGTCACTATGCGGCATTTCATGTTTCCTTCAAATGGTAACTGTCGCTACATCACCTCCCAGTAATACTTCAGGAATTGGGTGTTTTTAAACTATTGGTTGTTGATTCAATTATGGCTCTATTCCGAGTCGATTACAGTGGTCGAGGTGAGCTTGCAGAACGGCAGCAAAGACTTGCGCAAATGTTATCACGCTTACAGGTCAAATGTTCTTTTCGTTATTTAATACGAATATTTTTTAAGGAATGACTTTTGGAAATGCATTAAAGCAAAGTATTATCAATATTGTAAATCATAAAAAAAACTATCCGTAATTTAATACGTATTTTGAAACTTCTAATTTTTCAGAAAATCGCGGAAGAATATAATGTCGCAGTTTTTATCACAAATCAGATGACTGCAGATCCTGGCGCTGGGATAACATTTCAGGCAGATCCAAAAAAACCAGTAGGTGGGCACATTCTGGCTCACGCATCTACCACTCGTATCATGCTTAAAAAGGTACCATTTTTGACAGTCTCCCTGATTTTACAATGTAGGTAGGCTCGGAGTAATTCTGGGTTTCGAGAGTTTCCTTCCATCCTATCGAGATATATCTGATGTTAGCTTACTTTTCTTCATCTTGTAAGTTATTTCGATTCCCTTCTTTCTGTGTTTGGAACCTTTTTTAGTCATGTTTTATTTAAAAGTCTGAAGCAGAACTGACTTTCAAATACCTTCACATCAGGTATCTAAACCTCTCGTCTCCGTATGCTCTAGCGATAATTTGTAATTAAAATGACTTTTCATTAACAAATTTCAGTTGAATTTTAGGGACGAGGAGAAACAAGAATTGCAAAAATCTATGACTCGCCAGATCTACCCGAAAATGAAGCCACTTTCGCTATTGCCACAATCGGCGTTACTGATGCGAAAGATTGAGATGTGCACATTTAAACATATTTAGGACTTCAGGTATTACTTGATATGACTTTTGACATGCATATATACAGTTCTATTTGTTGTTGAAACAGTCAGGCCATGCACCAAGAGTTAATTGTTTGATTATAATATCTGTGTCTATAAATTAATCATTTTGGAAGCAGTTTTTTCTTTCCCTTGGCGACTGCACTACTATACTTGCAAGATCTTTCAAAGCACAATAACAACTCGAGATGGTTGTGCTCCCCTTTCTCGGCTGAAACTAACAACGCTGACTACCAATCATTCAGTTCACTCACCTTTGCTCAGTTTTGACCGTGCGATCTTCATTTGTCAATATGCAGTTAACTTTAAAATTTCGGAACAGTACCTGGCAAGCCATAGTCGTACCTGCGCGATGATGTATGGTGTAGTCCAATGTATTTAACGTGGCAGAACACAATTTCTAGGTTTTACTATAGTTGTTGATTATATCATCGAAGTTTCAGCAACAATTTCATTCAACATATGTTGGCAGTCTGACGACGGCAATACAAGCTCTTCAGCTTCATTTTCTCCTGTTTCTTCTTGCATTTGTGGTACTGAGCTAAGTGCAAAGCCCTTTCCACCCAATAACAAGCCAATCTTGAAAACGAAAAGTTAATAAAATAAAAAGTAAGACAAAAGTCTAAGAAACTATGCGCAATAAAAACCATAAACGATAATCGAACATACTTCCACATCGG